CTCTCTCTCTCTCTCTCTCTCTCTCTCTCTCTCTCACTATCTCTCTCTCACTCTCTCTCCCTCTCTCTCTCTCTCCTCCCCTCTCTCTCTCCCTCTCTCTTTCTCTCTCTCTCTCTCTCTCTCTCTGTATTTCATTTGTAGCAGTGTGTGTGTGTGTGTGTTCAATAACGTCACTTCGGTTTGTACAAAAAAATTTCTATACCTGTCTGTTCTACACAACTGGAAATGGATCTTTATTAGAGAATGCTCAAAATGTGGCAAACATTTTTTTCTGCCATTATTCTCATCGGCGGTAGCAGGAGCCACACATCCTCTTAACCTTTACTTTTTTCCTTTTTCATTTGAGGAATACTCCCGGAACTCTGTGCCACCGCTTAACCCTATCCGTACGTCGTGTTTTATTATCGTATCCATACGACATGGGGAACTCTGTGCCACCACTTAACCATATCCGTACGTCGTGTTTTATTATCGTATCCATACGACGTGGGGAACTCTGTGCCACCACTTAACCCAATGCGTACGTCGTGTTTTATTATCGTATCCATACGACGTGGGGAACTCTGTGCCACCACTTAACACTATCCGTACGCCGTGTTTTATTATCGTATCTATACGACGTGGGGAACTCTGTGCCATCACTTAACAATATCCGTACGTCATGTTTTACTATCGTATCCATACGACGTGAGGAACTCTGTGCCACCACTTTCCAACGTAGAAATTTACTCGTTAATCCGATCCTTACGCTTTACATAGCAGTCTGTCAAAATATTTTTATAGAGAAATACTGAAAGTTTCAAAGAGATCTTCGTACTAGAAGTATTATATGACCCCAAGGCGTGCGGATACTGTTTAAGAAATTAAGTGGTAAGAGAAGCGTGTTGAAGACAAATGATGACAGCAGTTCGAAATGAGACCGATCCCATAGATTCAGGAACCTGCAATGAGGACGCTTTTGGTCAACGAAGATGTCACGTGACCACTTTGGTCAATCAATGGCCTTCCTTACCAGGACAAGAAAACATACATTCAGGTTGTGTCCTGCCCCGGGCGGAGAAGAATAATTTGCTCTATACAAATTAAATGCTAGATGATGATGTTAGTTTTAGTAAGAGTTTTACAGCACTTGCAACCCAGTAATGTCATGTAAGGGCCGAAGAATAGATGTGTTATGAGAAAGTAATATAAACAAAAAAAGAAGAAGGAGAGATAAGGATGATAGATGTTTGATAAGAATGAAGGGGTAAAGCACACCAGAGCACCCGCCAACCACCCACAGTTGATGATGAAGACGACAACGACGACGATGATGATGATGATGATGATGATGATGATGATGATGATGATGATGATGATGGCCATTATTATTATTATTATTATTA